AGCCAGTTATAATTTTAGTAAATAAACGGAGTGCGCAAACACCGCTGAATATTTTCTGATGAGGCGTATTTTGAACAGCTGTATCTGCGTATTTTTCAAATAAAGTTATTATTTTAAATAAAATGGCAGGTTTTCTGACTGTTTAAACTATTCAGAAATATTTCTCTGTATTTGAAAGATTAAATAAACAACGTTGCTAATCACTCATCCGCATGGTCTGTGACTTATCAAATGTTACCCTAGCTTTATCAAGTTTTTCACTTAGTGGGGGGATCGGAAGGGCGTAAGACGTTATTTATAGATAAAAAATTATTGAATGGGGGTTGCCATTTGATTTCCAATGTTAAGGCCAAAATGGCTGTTGTACTTTAGTTCACATGACCCTACGATCGAAATAGAAAGAACTTGTGGAAATCCGCAACTGAAAATGGGCAAATCTGCGATTTTTTTTTTATTTTTAAATGTACAAAAGGTTTGCGAATAAATCAGAATGAAAACGCTAGGATTTATTTTCGAGATGAATTCCTAGTAATTTAAATTTTGTGTTCAAGGTTTTTCATTCTGAAAGTTATTGCCAGTATATGTATCTTATAATGTAAGTTTCAAATCTGAAAGTGAACAAAATTTTGTTTTTGAATATCATAAACGATATATTTTGCTTATTTTTGATCAGGGAAAACGGCTAGTAGTGGGACGATCTCGATGATAATTGTTGAACGATTTTTATTTAGAGGCTTAAAGACAAAGAAAAATGCTAGGGGAGGCCTTGGCCTCAATTCTGAGGTCCCGCCTTGGACAGTATCTTGACACCCAGGTTTGTTTTGTACAAGTATATATTAATGTTCGATTTTATACAACATACTTAAAACTTTAAGTCCTTTTATTCAACCATATAATATTAATAGTAGAAACATATTTCAGCTTTATCTCTTTATCTAGTCTAAATTATTGAACAGGAACTTATGATTAATGGTTAATTTTGCTGTTGAGCATTTCATGGACATTTCATAGATAACAAAATCATAGACAGGACATTTTATGGATAGGAAATTTTATAAATATGACATTTCATAGACAGAGAAGAAAAAAAATTTTACGAAGTGTCCTGTCATGAAATTGAAATGTCTTATGTCTTGTCTATGAAATTGAAATGTTTTATGTCTTGTCTATGAAATTTCTTCTTTGAAATGTCCTGTCTATGAAATGTCCTGTCTATAAATTTTCCTGTCTATGAAATGTCCTTCTGTGAAATGTCCTATTTATGAAATGAAATCCTATTTATGAAATGTCTTCTTCGAAATGTCCTGTTAATGAAATGTCAGGTCTATGAAATGTTCTGTCTATGAAATATCCTGTCTATGAAATGTCCTATCTATGAAATGTCTTATCTATGAAATGTTTTAATGAAATGTCTTACCTATGAAATTTCTTAGATGAAATGTCTTTCTATGAAATTTCCCAACACCTTATTTTATCTGAATTTTTCTTCATTCAATGAAATAAATTTTGTGAAGGATCTGGAGGTTATAGTTTATTCATGCTTGTTGATTCTTTCCTAAATTGGAGAGTTCAACATATTTTATCCTTGAGTATAGCATTTAAAGAAATGTTACTTGACAAGGGTCCTTACAGTGTCACACTGCACAGTCCCTTAAATGTATAAATTGTTAAAGGTGTGTTTACGGGAAGATTCAGAGGTTGGAGATCTCAATACCCTGGACCAGTATATACAGTAAACCTACTGTGGTAGGCAGGATGTCTTAAAGGGACTGTAAGCTTAATTTCAAGTGACCCTTCATGCAAAAAGGGGAATGGCCGATTAACAACGGTACCCTAAAAACATTTCTTTGTTCTTCGAGTACAAAATATGTGTGTAAACACTAAACATATCTAAATCCGATTGTATAATCATACAAGCGGATTTAGATACGTTTGCACACACCGGGTACTGTTGTAAATCGAGCACTCCCTTCTTTGCATGGAGGGTCACTTATTATTATGCTTACAGTCCCTTTAAACAACAAAAATTTGTTGATTTCCAAATGCATCAATGTTTTTCTCATCATCTTTTGTCCTTTGACTCAGAAAATGACTTTTTTTAACTGATTTATTTTATTTTAATTTCAATTTATTATAGTATTTAATAAGCCATAGTTTCTTTTCTTATTCTTCATGGATCAAGAATTTATATTGGATTCAAGGTCACTGGCCTTTATGTTGACATTGATAAAGCAAAAAACGAGGTCAGGTACCTCATATCCAAAATTTTCTTGAACCAAACTGGAGGCTGCATAGAAAATTTCAGCCTCCTACTTTTTTTAGTGATAAAATCTTCACGTTATCTTATAAGACTCAAAATTTTACATCCATCTGAAATAAATTTTATACGATGAACCCCTACGGCTGACGGCAGTTATGAGAATTCATACGGTTGTGATTTTTTTAGATAAATATTGTCGGTCT